TCCTGAACACAGGTCTCTTGACTCCAGAATCTGTGCTTGCCTTTCAAAGGAAAGGCAGAGTGTGGTTTAAACTACCTTTTGACATTTTGAGCCATTGTAGTAAACCAGAGCTGCCAGGGCTTGGAGAATTTCCATGTGTGTCCAGGAGCTACACTGCCGAATAGCTAAAATGGTATACGCCAACAAGAAATCCAGGTTCTGTTCATCAACAATCACCTATTGACAGAAGAAAAATACAGATGCTCTAACTTTAAAACTATTTTCATCCTTTTACAGCTATGTACGCTCCCTTGGATCAAGCTGTGTGAGACTGCATATCCATCTTTTCTTGCATGTGTCAAAAAGAGGTTCTAAAGGTTTGATAATTTGATCAAGACAGAGGCCCTCCGCCTGTCCAACGTCTCAGTCATTTTAGTCCCTTTAGTCTCTCTACTCAAAGCAGAACCTGGAGAGGGCATTGTAACTTGTCCTTGAACTAAACAGACATTGGCAGCTGTGAATACATTGATACAAGACTCAATCCACTGAAATACCTTAGTTCAATTAAACTGTCTTATATAGAGTAATCACTCAAAAAATACATAGTGACTAAACATATTTGCTGAATAGCTACTGTGTCTCTTGCTTGGTGGCAGGAATACAAGAAGAAGAAGTGGTATGTCCCTGTCCCAGTGGAGTTCACAATCTTTTGGGGATAAATTAGGCTAATCTAAGTATCAATTTGTGGACATTTGAGACAAACCGTCATCAAATGCTAGAAAGTTGTCTGTGGGTTGTAGGTGCCATGGATGATCAGAAAGTTTTCCCATGGCCACTGTTACAAAGATGACACACCTGAGAATAGCAAATATTCAGAAGCTATCTCACATCAGTTTGAAACATTCTAAAGTTGAAAATAACTCTATCTCATGTAGCAGACACTGTCGGTTAACTATCAGCATCCATCTTCTCTGAGGGCAGAGCTCTAATTTCATTTGGATGCCCACCTCTCCTACATGAGATCCACAGGGAAATCCTATTTACTGACAGTGGTTCTCAACCAGGGCCACTCTTGACCCCCAGGGAACATTTGACAATAGCTGTAGACATTTTTGATTATTTGCAATTAGTGTCAAGTGGGTGGACACTAACGATCTTGCTAAACATATTATAATGCACAGGACATTATAGCAAACTGTTATGGCTCAAGTTTAAGCCTCATGTGGTCACAGGTGGGGCTTTTTCAGAGCTGGCTAAGTGTAGAGTGTGTGACCTAAAATTGATTCATGATACAATGGTAGGCTCAAGGGCACTACGATTAAGGGTGTGAGTGCTACCCGCCCTAAATAGCCTGGATAAGATAAATGGGGCAAAAAGAGCTGTGGCCTTAGAGCCAGCCAACTATAGACTAAAACCTCTACAAACTATTAGCCAATAAACTTGTCCTTTAACTTTTGGTGTTGGATATTTTGTCTCAGCAATAAGAAAAATAACTAAGACGAAATTTGGTATCGGAAAAGGGGATGAGTCATTGCTGTGACTATACTTGATCATGTGGCTCAGGAGCCTTTGAGAATGGCTTGTGGGAAGAGTTTGGTAAGGTTCAAAGGGCTAAAAAAGTAGAGCTAAAACGCTTTAGGTGGTACTTGATGAGAGATTCTGGTCAGAGCTCAGAAGAGCAAAAGGCTGATAAAAACGATGCTGGTAAAGACAAGGCTCAGGAGGTTTCTGCTGGGAAAAAAGACTGCATTGATTGTTACACAGCAGATGATGTGTGTTATGGCTTGGCAAAAAGTTTGTCTGCATTCTGCTCCTGTCCAGAGACTTTGCCTGAGACTAAGGTTAAGTAAGGGCAGCAGACTAATTAATCTGGCAGAAGACATTTCAAGGCAGTCTCATGTTGAGGCGGTGCGATGCCTACTGCTGGGGGCTTGTAGCCAGACTTATGTTGAAAATCAAGACCAAAAAACCCAACAAAATAACGCAAAATGTTGTGAGTTTGGCCAGAAAGGAAGCTCCAACAAAGCCACAGACTGCAGAGACAGAGCAGAAGAGATCTTAAGTGCTGAAAAAAAACAAGCAAATAAAAAAAGATGACTTGAGGGCATCACAAAAACCAGCGAGATTCCATCCTTGGCCACCTCAAAATTACAAAAGTAAAAGACTTTGCTTCAAAAAAAGAGCCTTGGAGGCTTCTTGCTTCTGCTGTCTTCTGTCCTGTACTGCTGCCCTTCTCCCACTCTGCTTTGGAGCCAGCTGATTATGGACTGAAACTTCTATGGTTTGTGAGCCAAATAAACCTTTCCCCCTTAAAAAAAAAAAAAAAAAAAAAAAAAAATGGAGCCTTGGAGCATCATGTTCCAGAATGGCAGTGGCCTAAAAAAGTTGTTCCTCAAGATTTGGTTCATAGACACTTCCTACAACCAGGAGGAAAAGAAGGCTGGCTACTGCTCCAGCTGGCAGCAGACCTTGACATCATCCACGTGGCACTGGTTTTGGATACGTGGGGAATGCAAGAGTTGTGGGGTCAAGAAGGCTTCCACTCAGATTTCAGAGGAAGGCCTGGGAGGCCAGGCAGCGTGCTCCTGAGAGGGCAGCGCGTGAAGCTGTATGAGCCAAAAATACAACAGACACTCCAAAAATTTAGAAAAGCCAAGAGGGTAGATCGTCTGAGAAAAACTGCAAGGAGGGAGCAGAGCCAGCCCCAGAGAGAAGCCACAAGAGCTACAACCACCGGCAGTGCCACAGCGGCAGGGTCACCCAAGTCCTTCAGAGTTCACAACTTGCCACAGATTGTGAGAGATGCTAGAAGTAAAATGGTGAGATTTAATGTTTTCCCTGTTAGATTTTAGACTTGTTTTGGTCTCATTCCTTTATATTCACCTGTTTATAACTTTAAAATAAAGGGCTGAGGATTTAGCTCAGTGATGCTGCCTCCTGCCTCGAAAGTACAAGGTCCTGAGTTCTATCCCTGGTACCAAAAAAAACCCACAACAGTTACTTGCAACTTTAAAATAAAATAAAAATGTCTAACTTGGGGACAGAGATTTAGCACAGTGGTTCCACTGCCTGCCTCGCAAGCACAAGGTCCTGAGTTCCATCCCTGGTACCAAAAAAAACCCAAAACCCAAACAAAACAAACAAACAAAAAAATGTCTTATCTTGTGCCATTAAATGTTAAACACTTATACAGAGGCTTGCAGCTAAAAATTTGCTTTAAATCTCAGAAGAGACTTTAGACTTAAGACTTTTCAACAATGCTAAAAGTATTAAGACTTTGGCAACTCTTAAAAATATACTAAATGATTTTTTTCATAAAGAGATACGCATGAGTCTTTGGGGGGCCAGGGGCAGAATGTTATGGCTGTGTCTAGCTATCCCCCCAAAGCCTCATGCGGTCATAGATGGGGCTTTTTGAGAGGTGGCTAAATCTACAGTGTGAGATGCTAAAATTAATTCAAATACAATGTTAAGCTCAAGGGCTTAATATTGAGCTTAAGATGAAGGGTATAAATGCTACTCACCCTACATAGCCGAGGCAAGATAAGAGACAAAAAAACCTGTGGTCGTCCCTTGTTGCTTTTGCTACCTTGTGGGTGGGTGCCAAGAACTGTTTCTTCTCTGCGACGATCCTCTGCCATGTGCCACTCTGCCTTAGAGCCAACCAACTATAGACTAAAACTACACACTAGAAGCCAAATAAACTTTTCCTCCTTTAACTCTGAGTGTCAGTATTTTGTCTCAGCAGCAACAACAACAAAAAAATAACCAAGACACAAACAAAGTATCCAATCTAATATATCAGGAGTACAGAGGGTGAGAAACCCTACAGTAAGCTCATTTTGGGTGCGCATTATAATCATTCAGGGAGCTCAGGCACTCCAGGTGATTTTAATGTGCAGTCAAGGTTGAAACCACTGGTTTGTTTTTTTTTCCTGGTACCTGGGATCAAACTCAGGACCTTGTGCTTGTGAGGCAGGCACAGTGCCACTGAGCTAAATCCCAGGCCCTGAAACCACTGGTTTTAAGGGGGTGGGGGGAACTTAGCGGTACAGCACCTGCTTAGCATGCATGAGGCCATGGGTTCAATTCCCAACACTGAAACCAAACCAAACCACTGTTTTAAGTCATTCATGGTAAGATCATTCACTTGTTCAGAGACTGTTTTAGAGAGCTGTTTATATGAGTTAGCACTCCAATGAGATATCAAGAGAGCTTGCTGGAGAACTTATGGGTCAAGTTTGCTCATTCTTAAATACAAGAGACAAAATCAACCTGTTCTTTGGCTTCTATTGAACGTTAGTTATTTTGCATGGGAATGCCTAGAATTACACAGTCATTATATGACTGTGTGAGAGGTTACCCGAGGACAGCCCCCCACACTGAGGATGGCAGAATGGAAAGATGCCAGTAAGCCTGTTATTATAAAGGGACTCTAGAGCTGCCTGCCTTGGGACTTGTGATGTGGCATAATTCCTTTTTCTCTTTATTGTTTAGGTATTTTGGGTTGGCTTTTTTGTTTCTTGTAGCCCAAAGCATCCTCTTGACATAATACTAATTCATATATTTTGTACTCTTTACATTCTGTGTAACAGTCTTAATCCTAAAGGGAGTGGATTTATTCAGCAAGTTGGAAAACCTTCTAAAGAGAGCTGCAGTACAGACCTTGATATAAATAACTGGGGTCTTTTTACCCTAGTGTCCCCTTGCCCTTCAGCCTTCTTCTTAGGTTTGCATACATCAGAAGAAGATGACAAAAATGACAGCTTCAGAAAAGGGGAAACATATTAGTAGGAAAGAAGTAGGGAATCATTTCAACTTATTGAGATATATCTGGGTCAACTTTAGCTTCAGTGAAAAAATCTAGGACTAGGGAATCTGAATAAACATTGGTTTATTCAATCAAACAGAAAGAAACACTTCTAATAGACAAATTTCTAGAATTATCCAGAATAATGTCAATTATATTTAATATCATTTTTGTTAAGGTGTTACCTTTTCCTACCATCTCAAAAGACCAGCTTATGACATCTACCACAGATGCGGTTTAAAGGCATGTATTTATTCTCAAAGTTCATGATCTGAATCCTAAAGTTATATATATTACCTGTAATCTGTTAAGTAAATGGTGGATCAGCTTAGACACTTTGCTGACAAGATGATTCTGATTAGGAGGCACCAGTTGGCAAGCTTGGACAAGAAGAGCACTGACATCCTACCAAAAACATAAAAAAATAAAAATTAAAAAGACAAAGCAAAGGTAATACACCTACTAGTCAAGTGAAGACACCCAAAACACAGCAAAAGAGGAATATTGGAATATTAAAAGTGCAGGTTCACACAAGAATGGGGAAAGATGATATCCGAATGAAATTCGAGGGAGAAAATAAAATAATAGCACAAAAATAGGATATGCTAAAAAAGAAGAAAAAAATTGGTATGGTTTTTGTCAGGCTAAAGACTTCAGAGTTTCTGTCATCTATAGACAATATAATTAAATAACCAAAGAAAAACTTCCAGCATATAAAAGCACACGCTGAAATTAAAAACACCAAAAAACTAGTGAACTTGATTCTAGTAACTGAGAAAATCAGAAAGGACACTTCCATGAATTTTATGTGAAAATAAGAATTTTTTTAAAAAAGAGAAGAACCCATTTGCAAATCACACCATTCAGCCATTGATGATTACTGACAGAAAGGTGCTGAGCACATACTGTGGGCTCTAAAGGTGAAGGAAACATCTTCCTGAACCTCAAAGAGCTCACAATCTAATGAAGGAGTCAGAAATAGACATGTATAATTAAACTAAATAAAGTGCTGAAAGAATTAAGTAAAAACTCAGTGGGAAAAGAATAATTAAGGAGGCTTGTAACAAGGAGATTTTTAAGCAGAATCTGGAATGATGTCAAGAATACATAGAGCTCCGCCAGACAAGGCATCAAAAAACAATGCAAGCAAAGGGAGTGGGCAAAGATTCGGAGATGAGCAACGCCAGCAGGTGCTTGAAGAGCAGCAAGTTCCAAATGACTGCATACAGGACACAAAAGGGGGACAGACAGGAAAGAAGACTAGAAAAATGCAATTTATTTACAAAAATATCACAGTACACCAAGTAATCAAAAGTTCATCTCCTTTAATCCCACTCTGCTCCTTAGAGAAGCAGACAATTTTTTTGCTGTTGTCGAGAACTCTTCTGGATCTCATTTAAAAAAAATTACACACACACACACACACACACATTATTTTAAAATCCCCCATCTTCCTTGAGCCCCATATTGGTCTCATATTGTATAAAATTCATACAAATTCATAAAATTCATTTGGCAACTTGTTTCAACATTTACCAATATGTATTAAAGATTTTCCCAGATCAGATTTTTACTTTTATAGACAGCTTTAAAAAAACAACAACAACAAAGAAAAGATCACTCTGGCAGCACAGCAAAGAATAGTCTGGAGAAAAGCTGAACTGGAGGAAGGAGATTTGTTAGAGGAGACCAGTGAAATAGTCCACCCAAGTCATGTAGCTTAAGGCAAGGAGAATAAGGGCCACGTGGACTGAGAAAAACGTGTGAGACAGCTTCTGAAGAATCTGGATTGGATAGCCTCTGGGATAAAGGCAAGGAAAAGAACAAAGATTTGTGTCTGTGTGACTTGGTGGACTGAACATGTTTGTGTTGGAGGGGAGGATGGATTGGCGATGGGTGTGTCTGAAGACAGTGTATTCATTATTAAGAACTGTCAAGTTTGAAAGGCCTCTGAGCAACGGAAAGGCCTTGGTATTGACTGGCTTAAGAATTCAGGGAATCAGGAAGTGGTATCCAAGGTCTAACGTGTATGAATAAAACTGCTCAATGAAAAGAACTTCTAGGGCCGGGGATTTAGCTCAGTGGTTCCGCAGCCTGCCTTGCAAGCGCAAGGACAGGAATTCGATCCCCGACACAAACACTTCTAAAGAGGAAACGGGAGGGAGAGGGAGGAGCTAGCGTGAAAAACCAAAATATACAGGGACTTTGTGACAGACTTAAACTCCAATTCTAGCTCTGCTCCCTGCCTACAATATGACACTCACCGGATCTTGTGCGGGTCAGTGTTTTCATCAGCGAAAACAATTTAATAATATCCACGTTCTAAGGTTGCTGGAGCCGTTCACGGTAAAGTGCAGTACTCCATAAGCAATGATAATGATAGACTGTACCTATAAAAGTGCTGGATGCACAGAAAGGAAGTGGAGCGTGAGGACGGGAAGGTGGTACCAGAAATGACAGGTGAGATGCTGGAGGAAGTGATCAAGTCGGGGTTTGAAAGAATCGAGTTTGCCAAGCACTGCAATCTTTGAAATGTAGGAAAGCAGAGAACGTGCAACGGTCAGAGCGAACCAGTCAGCCTGGAACTAAATCATCATCGGGACAGGAGGGGAACATCCCGGAGAGACCGGCAGGGCTCCCTAACAGCTCTGGGTTCCCTACAGGGTGGGGCCGGGGCCGCCGGTGCAGCGCCTACCTCCGTGGCCACGCCGCCGCCCTCGCGGTAGTTCTCGGAGATGAGCTAGTCGAAGAGGAGGTGGATCTCAGTGCGGGCGGAGCTGCTGTCCTCCAGGCGCAGGGCGTGGAGCCTGGCCAACAAGCCCGACAAGCGACAAGCGGTGGAACCCACTGCCGGGCTCAGGGGGCGGCTCCCGCGGCGCTTCCCGCAGCTGGCTGCACGGCAGCAGGCCGCCAACTCGTACCGCCGCCATTTTTCCGACGTGAGACCACAAGGAAATACTTCCGGGGCATCCCCCAACTCCGCCCTCTAGTCCCACAAATAACTTCTTTGGAACAGAACCGGAAGCAAAGTACTTCCTCCACTAGTAGTCCTCAGCCTAGCATGTTGCAAAGGAGCAGCGAAAGGTTTAGCCCACTAACTCTCTGACCGCTGAATGGAAAGTGGGGTGGAGGGCTCCTGGGGAGGTCTGACGTTACTGTGTTAATTACGCATTAGAGTTTCAGATTTGGGCTGGAGTTGGAGAGGGGCTGCTGTGGATGACAATGGCCAAAATCGCTGATTATCAGACATCTCCTCTTCTTACCTTGTACTAGAGCCCCTGATTGTTCTATAGGTACAGAACATAGGCTACGTTACCCAATAGTTCCTGTACTTGACTCTGTGATTACAATCTGGCCAGTGGAATACAGGCAACTTTCCAATGTTTTCATGACAGCTGGAGGTGCTCTTTGTTCCCTTTTCTCCCCTTTTTGCAGTGTGAATGCTGAGAATCACAGAACACCTCTCCCTACTAGAAAAGTTAATTTTGGAGTTCAAACTGAACCGTGTAAATTATAACTTTCATTAAGAGTGAGCTGGTTGGAATTTGACACCCAAGATTTTCTGAAACATGGTCAAGAAGCTGGGGAAAAAAAAAAAAAAAAAAGATGAAAAGAAAACTGCAATGCTTTGGGCCGGGGATTTAGCTCAGTGGTTCCGCCGCTGGCTTTGCAAGCACAAGGAACTGGGTTCGATCCCCTATACCAAAAAAAAAACAACAAAAAAGATGAAAAGAAACTGGAAAATAAAAGAGCTATTATAACGCTTAATCAGTTACCCAAGAGATGAAGACTAGACCTTTACATTAAGGCAGACTGGGAAAACCATCTCTAGGACCTTTGAGCTCTTCAGATATAAAGAAAATCCCCACTTCTAGTTCATAGGGAAACCTTGAGGTTATTTCAATATGTGTTTTATCCTGAAAATAAAACACTGTTCAGCAGTGAAAATTGGACTGTTTTAGGAGAGCTAGTTCTCTGAAGACTTTGGACTTCTTTGTGGAGAATTTTTGTTGTTTGGATTTAACACCATTATGCTTGCATATATTATTCTTATTCTTGGGATATGTGTTATATATGTGCAGTATGTGTGTGGGAGAGTAGTTGTGATATTCACGCATTTGCTCAAAGAAAATCAAAAGGTGAAACCTAGTCACTGTATGTTTTAGTTGGTGTTCTCTGAAAGTAGAACCTCAAATGAGGTTGATACGTGAGCAATTTATTCAGGAAAGAACAGAGATGGAAGGAGAATCAATAGTAACTTGTGCTCTTGAGTTAGTCACTGCAAGGGATGACTGTTTGGTCTTTGGGAGTTTCTGGGAAATCTTATGAAATACTCTCAGAACCCCTCCTGAAGAATAAAGGGGATATAGGCTGGGGATTTAGCTCAGTGGTTCTGCCGCCTGCTCCGCAAGCGCAAGGACCCGAGTTCGATCCCTGGTCCCCCCCCAAAAAAAAGAAGAAGAAGAAGAAAGGGGATGTACATCTGCCCGCTTTTGACCTCTTTTGTCAGTGGGTGCTGCACCAGGGATTAATTCTCTGGTTTGGCACGCGTCATTGTGCAGGAGTTCCTATAGGAGTCCCCTGATGCATAATCAAAGAAACTATGAGGCAATGGTGAGGTGTTTGGAATACAAGTGCACATGTCTAAAACAAGGCTCTGGCAAGTTCCATTTGTACTAAGCTAGTAGATAGCTGAGATAAACTGGTTGCCATAACAATGATTCAAAGAATCTAAGACTAAGAGTATTTGAAGCAGTCCTTAAGAGATGTTCAACACAATGGGCTAGAAGAATGTTAGGCCTGGTCATTACCACAATGAGGGAAGTGTGAAGAGACTGTGGAAAGAATCTGGGTTTAATGTGGTTCATTGTAGGTTCCAATAAGGATGACCCACATGTAATGTTATTTGAGAAAACAAATGACCCAGGTATTGTAAAGTAGGTATACTGATGCCAATCTGTTGGGTTCTGATAGGATATATCCTTGTGGATGACAGTGTGCTTCCTTCAAGGAACTGAATATTCCTGTTCAGTGGTGATCATCAACCGAAAGAAAAATATATCAATTGTCCAGGGGAAGGGGCCTTTGAAGTTCCCTTGCATTGGCTTAAATCAGACAGCAGTACCTCCCATATCCATTTTCCACCCTGAGACTGTGGAAACTTAGAGCATGGCAAAGACTGTCTTCCAAGAAAATATCCTCACACATTCTCAATCCTCAGTGCTCCTCACTCTCAACATTTCAATTGTCTGATAGTGACTGAGAGGCTTTACAGAATGCTGAGCATGTTTACAACCATTCTCCTTCTAAATTCTGCATCAGATGATCTGGAACCTTATTCTGAAAATTCACTTTTTTATTTGTAACCTTATTCATACTTCATTTTTATTAGTTTATTAGAGTCTAGATTACCCTAATTAAAGTAGGCTTGTGTAACCCCACTCTATTTCACATTCTTGTTTATTTTTTTAAGAACATTTACCCTAACCTGTAGTTATCTTCATCATTTGTTACTTGTATGTTCTGTTTCCTCCTTTAGAATGTGAGTTTTATGAAGGCACAGATTCTGTCTAGTTCACTTTTGTGTCCTCACTGCTAGCAAGCACCTGGGATGTGCTAGGGACACCACAATACTTGTTGACAGAATGGATTTTCTTTTTTATTTCCTCTTTACACTGCAGGAAATGACACCAGAGTTTAAATAGTTTGTCCAAAGCCACATAGGCAGTGCATTGGTTAAAATCCCAAATGTACTGTACTCAGTACTGTACTATACTCAGGCTGGCTGAGAACTAAGTCTGTGATTATGAAGAACGTGGACAAGAAACTATAAGAGATTTTTATTTTAACTTGTCTATATTTTGTTATGGGAAGAAACAGAAAAAAAGGGCCGGCTCTCAGTATTCAGATTAAACCTTGAACTAGGGGAGACTGGGAAGGAGAATTGACCCTGAGTTCTATTTTAGAATATTACAAATTAAGGCTAAGGATCATTGGCCCATCTATTTGGCAACAACAATAAATAAATATATATTGGGTATATATAACAAATATATAAATAAATAACACTGGGTGAAAAACCCCATCCCATACTTTTCCACTGTAAATCTGTACTTTAGCAAATAGTACCTGGCTTTGCATCTCAGTAGTTGTGTCTGGGGGATGTAAGAAGCAATCTTTGTGTTTACCCACATGGTACTACAAATGGCAAGGTGGCATGGTGTGTGCATCTGTGCAAAAATGTCAAACCAGGATTTTTACCTACATGATGTTCTGTCAAACAGTTTTTGCATATGTTCACCTGAGCATCATGGGGGTAAAATAAACCCACACCATTCTTCTGTTATGTAAACATATTCTTTACCATAATGGAATGTGGGTGTGGATCAGAGTAGCTGGGCATGGGGACAGCAGGAACCCATCTGTGCATTCACCCATTTGGCAGACAAATAGCAAAATGTGTACAGGATCTCCAGTGCAGCAACAAGTGTGCATTTAAGATTTGTTTTTTAAAAAATTTACTTTTGATATTTTGGTAGAAGTAGCCCAGTTCAGTACAATGGCACATGAAAAACCAGATTTGCATGTTTTGGAGGAGATCAAAAGTGCACCATCAGGTGATGTCTGCATGGATGATGACATTGGCCATATGAGCCAAAGTTCCTGTGACAGTGAAATGGAGCAAGAATTGACTAACACAGACACAGGGAATGAAGACTTCCCTGATTTAGATGACAAAGAAAACAGCAATGTTAGTACATATTTGACTAGTCAAAGTGATACAAAATGGTCGAGGACCCAAATGAAATGATCCAATGTTGGAACTATGTCTGAAAATAGCATGAGGATCTTGGTAGGGCTAAAACCTACTGAATGGAACGCCAGCACTGCCATTCAGTGTTGGAAATTGTTTGTAACAGACAAAATGCCACAAGATGTTGTGAAATACACAAATGATGATATACAAGTCTGTATGTACCAATAGGCATACTCAAAAATGTGTTTATTATGACATCTCACTAGCTCAACTGAAAGCATTCATAGGTCTACTGTACTTAGCAGGGTTTTCCCTTGCTAAATGCACTAATGTAAAAGGCAGATGTAAAAGACTTATGGGTGTGAGCTTGAGGTTTGTAGAATAACAATGACACTGAGGAGATTTGGTATCCTTAAAAAATTGCCTGAGATTTGTTTACAAAACTACCCCTCAAGAAAGAAAAAGAACTGCTAATCTGGTTGCTATCCACTCACTGAGAGTTTTGTTTCAAAAGGTTAAGCAATTTACACACCATCTGAATATATGACTATTGATGAACATCAATTGATGCAGCATTTCGTGACCACTGTATCTTTAGGCAGCATATTAGGGTGGTGTGGCATTTACAGTTGAACAAAAGGAAGGGAAGGGAATGACTCAGCTTCTTTGTTTCTAACTGTACTAAAACCTTGACAAAACTGGCGTCTGAGATGGTAACTTTTTACAACAAAACCAAAGGCAGAGTAGATGTTGCTGATGAGTTATGCAGCAACTATGATGTCACTCAAAACACAAAGCTTTGGCCAATGGTTGTGTTTTACTCGACCCTAAAATTGTGTGGCATAAATAGTTTGCTAGTTTATGCAGAAAATAAAAAGTGCAAAGTATCATGGAGAAATTTTCTTAGAGGATTGGGACTGGAACTCATAAGAGATCATTTACAGCAGAGGAAGAACAAAACGTTTCTGCCCTGGAATCTATGCAAAAAAATTGTGGAGCACACTGGTAAGCTGACAGGTGAACAGTGCAACATCACAAAGACCTACTATGACAACAGAAAAACCAAAAAGATGTCAGTTGTGCCCTATAAAAAAGAACAGGAAAACAAAACATATGTGCTATCAGTGTAAGCAATACTTGTGCACAGAACATGCAATTATCACGTGTGAGGCCTGCCTTGGGTGTAATAGTTGAAGCAAAGATTGTTTCTGTGGTAGACCTGTTTGTATTTGCATTGTAGTTCACATAGGTTTTTATTTCTGATGTTATCTTTTAGGTTTAGTAAGCAAGTAAACAGCTGATGTGAAAATGTTGATATTTCTTTTAAGCACTC